GCTAGCCCACCATTTGTTACATAGCCCAGGTTGGACTTAAGTTTAACTATCCTTCTGCCTTAGCCTTCTCAGTGTTGGGATGACGGGTATGTGCTGCCATGCCTAACTTTAAAGGGGATCTTAAAAAAAAATTAGGCCAGACATTGGTGGCTTACACCTTTAATCTCAGCACTTGGGAGGCAGAGGCAGTCGGATCTCTGAGTTCGAGGCCAGCCTGGTCTGCAGAGTGAGTTCCAGGACAGCCAGGGCTACCCAGAGAAACCCTGTCTCAAAGCCAAACAAGAAAGGGGGGAGTGGGAAGAGGGGGATCTGTGGTTGGTATGTAAAATGAATAAAAAAAAATTACAGAGCTAAACAAAATTCTCAACAGAAGAATCTCAAATAGCCAAAAGACATTTAAGGAAATGTTCAACATCCTTAGCCATCAGGGAAATGCAAATCAAAACAACTCTGAGATACCATCTTATGCCTGTCAGAATAGCTTAAGATCAAAAATACAGATGACAGTCAATGTTGGAGAGGATGTGGAGAAAGGGGAACATTCCTCCACTGCTGGTGGGAATGCAGTCTTGTACAGCCACTCTGGAAATCAGTATGGCGCTTTCTCAGAAAATTGAGAATTAACCTACCTCAAGACCCAGCAATACTACTCCTGGGCATATGCCCAAAGGATGGTCAATCATACCACAAAGATACCTGTTCGACTATGTTCATAGCAGCATTATTCGTAATAGCCAGAACCTGGAAACAACCTAGATGCCCTTCAACTGAAGAATGGATAAAGAAAATGTGGTACATTTACACAATGGAGTATTACACAGTGGTAAAAAACAATGTCATCATGAAATTTGTAGGCAAATGGATGGAACTAGAAAATATCATCCCGAGTGAGGTAACCCAGACCCAGAAAGACAGACACGTTATGTACTCACTCATAAGTGAATATTAGACGCAAAACAAAGGATAACCAGGCTACCGTCCACAACCCTAGAGAAGCTAGAAGTAAAGAGGAGGACACTAAGAGGGGCACACATGGATCGCCCCAGGAAAGGGAAAGGGTTAAGATCTCCTGGGTAAACTTGGAGGAGGGAGTAGAGGGGAGGGGAGGGGAGGTGGGAACATGAGGGCTCAAGATGGCCTAGTTGGGGGAGAGACGGGGAGGGAGAGCAATGAAAGAGATATCTTGACAGAGTGTGCCATTAAGGGGATGGGGAGAAACCTGCAGATAGGGAAAACCCAGGAACTCACAAGGTTGTCCCCAGCTAAGACTCATAGCAATGGTGGAGAGGATGCTTGAACTAGCCTTCACCTGTACTCGGATTGGTGACTACCCTAATTGTCATCATAGAACATTCATTCAGTCACTGATGGAAGCAGATGCAGAGACCCACAGCCAAGCACTTGGCCAGGATCCTCAAGTTCAGTTGAAGAGAGGGAGGATGGATTATAAGAGCAAGGGGGGATCAGAATCATGGTGGGAAAAACCACAGAGAGAGCTGACCCAAGATAGTGGGAGCTCAGGGACTCTGGACTGACAGCTGGGGACTTGCATGGGACCGAACTAAGCCCTCTGAATGTGGGTGAAAGTTGCGTGGCTTGATGTGTTTGTGGGTCCCCTGGCAATGGGACCAGGACTTATCCTGGGTACACGAACTGGCTTTTTCAAGCCCATTCCCTATGGTATGATTCCTTGCTCAGCCTTGATGGAAGGAGGAGGGACTAGGTCCTGCCCCAACTTGATGTGCCAGCCTGTGTTGACTACCCAAGGGAGGCCTTACCCTCTCTTAAGAGGGGATGGGGGTGGGGTGGGGGTAGATGGGAGGAATGGGGGAAGGGGAGGGAAGCAGAACAGGGGTTGGTATGTAAAAGAAAAGAAAAAAAAATTAAATAAACAATGAATTAAAAAGTAAAAAAAAATGGAATACACTTATTCTAGAGCTGAAAATATTAAAGCCAATTAAGATCTTAAAAAAAAAAAAGGGAGAGATAGCTCAGTGGTTAATAGTGTTGGCTGCTCTTCCAGAGGTCCTGAGTTCAATTCCCAGCAACCAATGGTAGCTCACAACCATCTATGAGTTCTGATGCCCTCTTCTGGTGTGTAAGGGATACATGCAGATGGAGCACACACCTAAAAAATATGTGCATAAAAATTCCTGTGCGGTGGTGGCACACACCTTTAATCCCAGCACTCGGGAGGCAGAGGCAGGCAGATCTCTGTGAGTTCGAGGCCAGCCTGGGCTACCAAGTGAGTTCCAGGAAAAGGCACAAAGCTACACAGAGAAACCCTGTCTCGAAAAACAAAAAACAAAATGTGCATAAATTAAAAATAAAAATAAAAACAAAACAAAGCCAAAACATACACACATTTGTTTTGTTTTTCAAGACAGGGTTTCTCTGTCTAGCCCTGGCGTCCTGGAACTCACTCTGTACACCAGGCTGGCCTGTCTCTGCTTCCTGAGTGCACACACACATTTCAATGTATAAAATTTGGCACTGGAGAAATGGCTCAGTAGTTAAGAACACTGACTGCTCTTGAATGGGACCCTGATTCAGTTCCTAGCACCCACATGGTACTGGGCACTATATGCATGTGATGTACATGTATGCAGGTATTTACTCATAAAAGTAAATCTGTTTTTAAAAAATCACAAAAACAAACCAAACCAAGAAACACTGAGGTATAACTGGACCTAAGAGGAAACAAAAAAAGAAAGAGACCTGTGGTTTGAGGACAACCAAGGTAGGGTAGCTGCTTCCAAAGCTGGGGGTGGAGTTGAGGTGAGGAGGTGGAGGAGAGTTTATACTTGATACTTTTTTGTTTGTTTCTTTGGAAACAGAGTCTTGCTGGGTAGCACAGATTTGCCTTGTATTCCCGGCCCTCTACCTCTACCTCGTAAATGCTGGTATTAGGGTATACAAGACTGCCTCCAGTTTTTTGTTTTTAGCATTTGTAATCTATTTTTAAAATTTTGGGTATATCTTTGCACAGGCATGTGCATATGGGTGTAGTGCACATAGATACCAGAGGAGGCAGTGAGATCCCATGGAGCTACAGTTACAGGCAGTTGTGAGCCACCGAATGTAGGCAGGTCCTCTGAAAAAACAGTGTTCTTAACCTCAGAGCCATCTCTTCAACAGTACTGTTTCTTTTTTGAAAGTAGGATCTCAGGGTGTCCTTGAACTCACTATGAAGCCCAGACCTCAAACTAGAAGTCCTCCTGTCTTAGCTTCCCAAGTGTTGGAATTATAGGCATGCAGCACTAAACTTCTATTTGGACTTTTCCAGGTATTTGTTATGAACATGTTTGCAGGAATGCATTAGGCAGCAAAGGTAGATTGGAACAATCTTCCCATGTGTGCACAAAGAAGCCTGCTAGTGTGTGAGATGATACTTTAGGTTTTTCTTTTCTTTCTTTTTTTTGCTTTTTCGAGACAGGGTTTCTCTGTGTAGCCCTGCCTGTCCTGGAACTGGCTCTGTAGACCAGGATGGCCTCAAACTCAAGGAGATTGGCCTGCCTCTGCCTCCCGAGAGCTGGGATTAAAGGTATGCGCCACCACTGCCTGGCTTTTTTGTTTTTGTTTGGTTTTGATACTTTTTTCCCCCTAATTTTATTTTATTTTTTTATTTTATAATTTAATTTAATTTTACATATCAGCCACGGATTCCCCTGTCCTCCCTCCTCCCACTCCCCCCTCCCCCCAGCCCACCCCTCATTTATTAATAGGTTCACTTTAAAATAGGCCTACAGCTTAA